AGTTTCAGAGGACGCGCCAGAGCCATGCCCGGATTCACTGGGTTGGTGCGGAGTTTCCCAGAACAAACACGGGTGTCGGGCCGCTCGTAGGGCAGCGTCAGTGATTCTTGCTGTCACCTCCTCAGGGGTTCGTGGGTGCCACCTGCGAGAACGACTCCCGCACCTGTGGGAACCTGCACTGCCTGAACGGTGGCACCTGCATCTCCATCCACAAGAGCTCCAAGTGCATGTGCGCGCCGGCCTTCACGGGGCCCGAGTGCCAGTACCCGGCCAGCAGCCCCTGCACGTCCAACCCCTGCTACAACGGGGGCACCTGCGAGTTCTTCAGCGACGCCTCCCCCTACTACCGCTGCAACTGCCCCGCCAACTTCAACGGCCTCAACTGCCACATCCTCGACTTCGATTTCCAGGGTGGGATCGGGCAGGACATCATCCCGCCCAAAATCGAGGAGAAGTGCGAGATTGCCGTTTGTGCGGGGTACGCCGGCAACAAGATCTGCGATGGGAAATGCAACAACCACGCCTGTGGCTGGGACGGAGGGGACTGCTCCCTCAACTTCAACGACCCCTGGAAGAACTGCTCCCAGTCTCTGCAGTGCTGGAAGTACTTCAACGACGGCAAGTGCGACTCCCAGTGCAATAACGCCGGCTGCCTCTACGATGGGTTCGACTGCCAGAAATACGAAGGGCAGTGCAAGTAAGTGACTTGCTCGGTGACCCTCTCGTCTGGGGGTATTTTCTGGTTGCATCTGCTAAAGCTCCTAAGTGCACACCTGTTGTTCGCTCTCTGCATTCTGTTCTGCTGCCTGTGGGGCTGCGACTCAAGCAAGCATGTTTCCCTGTGGAAGCTCTCTGAATTTGGCTCATTCCAGATGGCTTCCCAGTCCTTCCCCGTGTTGCACAAGAGGAGCGAATTCTTCCACTCACAGTAGTAACACATAGTTCCAGTGTAGGGAGATCCCAGATGGAAGAACAGCCAGAAAACGTGATGATCCAGGCATTTACCAAACATTGTCTTTGGCAACAGCAGGAGCTTAATCCCAGATTCCTGGACAAACTGGTCTGAATAGCTATTCTGTGTCCCCATCTCTTCTCTGAGTCACAGTAATCTGTCCCGTTTTCTGGCATCTAAATTGCAACTTAGAATTTCACAGCTGCTGTGTTTCACTGGCAGAGGGGAGCGCTTCACAGCGCTGCGTGAAACAGTTCCCTTCTCTGCAAACTGGTTTGGTGTCTATCAGGATGAAGAATATGTCTGCAGAAAAGGTCCTTGTGGGCCACCTCTCCTTTTCTCAGCAGTACTTGGCCTAATTCATTCTTCTGCTTTTCCTTTTTTTTTCTGCCCAGCCCTCTGTATGATCAGTACTGCAAAGATCACTTCTCAGATGGTCACTGTGACCAGGGCTGCAACAACTTCGAGTGCGAATGGGACGGTCTGGACTGTGCGAACAACATGCCGGAGAAGCTTGCGGATGGCACGCTGGTGGTGGTGGTGCTCATCACTCCCGAGAACCTGAAGAACAACTCCTTCAACTTCTTGCGGGAGCTGAGCCGCGTGCTGCACACCAACGTGGTCTTCAAGAAGAACCCCAAGGGGGAGTATATGATCTTTCCGTACTACGGCAATGAGGAGGAACTGAAAAAGCATTACATCAAGAGGTCAACAGAGGACTGGTCAGATATGTCTAGTGCTGTCATCAACAAAGTAAAGAGCAGCCTCTACTCACGGGCTGGCAGAAGGCAGAAGAGAGAGCTCGATCAGATGGACATCAGAGGGTGAGGGAGACCGATGGGTTCCTTTTTCAGCGAGCACCATTTGTTTTCTGTGTCGATAATAGTAACACGCTCTAAAGGGAAGGATCTAGGGCCAGATAATTGTATTTAGACGTTGCTTTCTGTGTGAACAGAAACCGGATTTTGCTCTCATGTGGGAAAGGCGAGTGATCGCTCAGGAATCCCTGACACAATGCTGCGCCGACTCTCACGATTGAAGGAGTCCTGCGTATTGTTGGGAGCCGGGGCTGGGCTGGGTGGGACCTGGAAGCAGAGGTTGGCCTGACCGACTGTCTGACTTCAGGAAGTCATTAAGTTAAGCCTCAGTTTCTCCCTGGGAAACGCTTTCTAGAGCTTTGTTGTAAAGCTCAATTACTGCAACCCGTGTTTGGAGATCTTTGGTATAAACATATAGATCTAACCTCCTCCCTCTCTGCGGGCTCAATCAAAAGCCACCAAAACCAAAGGAATTAGAGCAGCGTAACTGTTGGGAAAAGATCTGAAGGCTCCCAAACAGCATTATTTAAGATACTGTAATGTCTTGGTAATTTTAAAACATTGTGAAGCAGGGACTCGCTGCCGTTCCTGTAGAGAAGGAGTTAGATCTCACAGTATTGAGGCAAATCCGATAGATCCTGAGTGTGGGCTGCAGGGATGCAAGGAGATGGGTTCCCACCTTCCGATTTCCACTGATAGGTGCTTAAGGAGGGAAAAGGGACAGGGCTCGTCTCCCTTCCCAGTGTTTCTCACTTAAAACATTGTGAAGCAGGGACTCGCTGCCGTTCCTGTAGAGAAGGAGTTAGATCTCACAGTATTGAGGCAAATCCGATAGATCCTGAGTGTGGGCTGCAGGGATGCAAGGAGATGGGTTCCCACCTTCCGATTTCCACTGATAGGTGCTTAAGGAGGGAAAAGGGACAGGGCTCGTCTCCCTTCCCAGTGTTTCTCACCGACTCTTCTGTCGCGCAGATCCATCGTCTACTTGGAAATTGATAACCGCCAGTGCATCCAGTCGTCTTCCCAGTGCTTCCAGAGCGCAACCGATGTGGCGGCGTTCCTGGGTGCCTTGGCCTCCCTTGGCAACCTGAACATACCCTACAAAATAGAAGCTGTGAAAAGTAAGTACGGCTGGGGAGGAGAGACAAACACAGCCGAAACTTTCCAGCCGTGTTCGAGTTTAGTTCTCTGTCAGCTGGCTGCATCTGAGCACAGTTGGGTTTTAATCACCTTGCACGTTCTTAAAAAAATTTGCAAAACCAGTTCATTATTTTTGCTTATTCCAGGTTTATTTCAGAATCATTATCACTATAAAAGTTATAAAAAAAAAAAAAAGAAAGGAAAAGAAAGAGAAAACCCAACCAGCTCCAATCAATCAGTGACATGCAAGGAGTTGAAGTTTGTATCTTGAAAATCCCCCCTAAATCCTTTTGTCTTAACAGCTCAATGCAAGCGCAGTGATTTGAAGTTTGCTAATCCTTTTCCTTAAAGGAGAAAAAAGTGAAGCTGTCTCCTGATGCAGGCTGGCTTGTGCAGCCGAGAATTTGCCGATAGTTTGCAATTCTGATTAATAGCGTATAAAATGACCTTATTTTGGGGGGGCTGATTTAGATCAGACTTAGGTACCTCTATTAACTAATTTTCCTTCATTTCCACTCTGTCACTGGTTTGCTATGCAGCTTAATGTCTCAGCGTCGCTTTGTGCCCCACTGTTTTGTAGGTGAAACAGCTGAGCCCACGAAGAACTCCCAGCTGTATCCTATGTTCGTGGTGGTGGCTGTGCTGGTCTTGCTTGCTTTCATTGGAGTGGGAGTACTGGTGTCTCGTAAGCGGCGCAGGGAGCATGGGCAGCTTTGGTTCCCAGAAGGCTTCAAAGTGACCGAGTCGAGCAAGAAGAAGCGACGAGAACCGCTTGGGGAGGATTCTGTTGGACTGAAGTGAGTAATTTGCTTGCTAACCCGTTAAACACGGCGCAGCCGGGATGCTCGGGGGCTCTTCTGAAAGACCCCGTCTGAGTTTTGTTCTCTACTGCCTTGTATTGGTGTCGCGGGGAGGAGGAAAGTCAGATTTCTTAAAGCTCTGCCTGGGGAAAACGTGTTCCTCTCTGGACGAGGTTTTTCAATGTTTTGTGGTCCGTTTGCACTTGGTAAAAAATGAAAAGCAACCTGAGGGGAACCTCCTGGAAATTGCTTTGTTGATTCTTCTTTCAGTCTGTGCTTGTAGATGAGCACAGTCCATCCCAGACTAGTTCCTGCAGAGGAGCTCATTTTTTGTATGGTTTTATTTTTCAAGACCCCTCAAAAATGCTTCGGACGGCACGCTGATGGATGACAACCAAAATGAGTGGGGCGATGAGGAGACCTTGGACACCAAGAAGTTCAGGGTAAGCTCATCCCCTTTCTGTGCTGCAAGATGTCACTCACTGGCTTTTGTCACCGAAGGGGCAGAGCGCTGCGGGAAGCGGCAGAGCAGAGGGGCCGTGGGGGGCCCAGCCTGCGCTGCGCGTCGCTGCTGCCGGCTCCTTTGCAGCCCTGCGTGCGACAGACGCGCCTTTGAGACTCACTGAGCTTCCCACGCCGGAGCTCAGCCCCCTCCTCCCAGCCCGGCTCGGGCGCTCCGCTCGGCGCTCACCGCCCACTGTCGTTCCGCAGTTCGAGGAGCAGGCGATGCTGCCCGACACGGACGATCAGACAGATCACCGGCAGTGGACCCAGCAGCACCTGGACGCCGCTGACCTGCGCATATCCTCCATGGCACCTACCCCACCGCAGGGAGAAATCGATGCCGACTGTATGGATGTCAACGTCAGAGGTCCCGGTAAGGTGGAATCCTTTCACTTCTGTGCTGCTTGTCAGCTCATCTAAAAATCCTTCTTTACCCCTTAGAGACGAGCCGTCCCGGACAGCCCTACCTGTCTCCGTTTCTAGTACGGAGTCGCTGCTAGCTGTTCTGCATCACATGGTTGCCTTGTGTGTGATTTAGAGAGAGAAACCCTGTCACGTTATGCTTTCCGTGAGATCTTTTTTTTGTTCAGTCCCTGAGGTGGAAACTAGAGAATACAGAAGAAGTACCTATTAAATCATCCTTCTTATGTCTCCGCCACTCCTAGACTCCTCTCCTCCCACCAAACTGCCCATTTCACCATCTTGTTTTCAGGTTTTTAACTATAATAATAGTTAATAGGCTTTTAAATTATTACAGTCATTTGGCTTTCTCCACATCTGTGAAATTCCTCTGAAGTAATAAAAGTATTTAAGGCTGCGCTGTACCGTGCTCAAGTTTGCTTTGAGCAACCTTCCTTATAAATTGCACCGCACACATTAGCGTGCATGCTAGCAGCTGAGATAGGAAAAGCAGTGAGTGGTGAGATCCCACTAAGGAATTTCGGATCCATATCAGAGGAAGGATGCTCGTGTTTGATGTTTAGAAGGAGTCGGGAACTCAGTCTTGATGCACCCACGAGAATAAGCCGCTATCGCAGACAGAGCATCTCGCTGAGCCGCCAGCGGGTAAAAAGGCCTTTCCTCACCGAGCTCCCCTGTGCTTTTCAGATGGCTTCACCCCTCTCATGATCGCCTCGTGCAGCGGAGGAGGACTGGAGACGGGCAACAGTGAAGAGGAAGACGATGCTCCTGCCGTCATCTCGGATTTCATTTACCAAGGCGCCAGCTTACACAACCAGACTGACCGCACCGGCGAGACGGCTCTTCACCTGGCTGCCCGCTACTCCCGCTCGGACGCTGCCAAGCGCCTGCTGGAAGCCAGCGCCGACGCAAACATCCAGGATAACATGGGCAGGACACCCCTCCACGCCGCCGTCTCTGCTGATGCCCAGGGAGTCTTCCAGGTGATTGATCCTTTTGCCCCACCAGTCTCCAGGTTTTCTTTGGGGAAAAGTGCTGGTGTTGAGCCAGTCCCACAGCTGAGCGGGTCGTGGGGTCTCCTGCTTGTCCTGCTGAGGTGCAGGGTGAAAGTCTTGAAAACTGAAGCCCTGTTGTCTTGGCGCAGAGCACAGCAAGGTGGCACACCCCAGACTGGGGATGGGGACTGGAGGCATCAGCCTGTGGAAAGGAGACCGAGGTAGCTGGAGTGTGTGCTCTCTGCCTCTCCTAACATTTGTGTTCCCTGCGCTTTGGGCAGATCCTGATTAGGAACAGGGCAACCGATCTCGACGCCCGAATGCATGACGGGACCACTCCTCTGATCTTGGCCGCTCGCTTGGCCGTGGAGGGCATGCTGGACGATCTCATCAACTGCCATGCAGACGTCAATGCCGTGGACGATCTAGGTACTGCAGGCAACTGAAAGGGGCTCCCTCAGAGGTGGAAGGGGAAGGGCTGCTCACTGTTACTCTCACCACTCACTAATGCGTGTTGTATTTCGTGGTCTTCCGCTGCAGGCAAGTCGGCGCTGCACTGGGCCGCTGCTGTGAATAATGTTGAAGCCGCAGTGGTCCTCCTGAAGAATGGTGCCAATAAGGATATGCAGAACAATAAGGTAGGGGTCTGCTGGGCTGACAACAGGCAAGGAAGGAACCATCTGGGGAGTCTGTTAAAAGATAATTCTTGTCTAAACTACAACGCTGCCTGGCACTGAGACTCTGATTCGATTGTTCTGCTGTGAATGAAGCTGTTGGATTTAGCTGAAAGAAGCATTGTGGGATTTGGTCGTGCGCGTGGTGTCGAGGGGCCGTGCAGTGCTCGGTGGGCAATATGATACCGTGATCGTGTGGCCATCTCCTCACGTGTTCTGGGTCACTCGTAGCGTTCCTGGTTTGGTATCAGTATAAGGACGTGGCTCAGCAGGGTAGGAAAAATCAGTGGCAAAACCTCACCAGAGGAGAGACGATCACCATCTCTGCCACCCAGCTGCATGGTGTTGAGCCTGGAGCTCGGGATAGTGTTAGCCAGGAGAATCTGTGAACTTGAACATAACCATCTTTGCTGTGTTCGCAGGAGGAGACCCCACTGTTCCTCGCAGCCAGGGAAGGGAGCTACGAAACCGCCAAGGTCCTGCTGGACCATTTCGCCAACCGTGACATCACGGACCACATGGACCGGCTCCCGCGGGACATCGCCCAGGAGCGCATGCACCACGACATCGTGAGGCTGCTGGATGAGTACAACCTGGTGCGGAGCCCACCGCTGCACAACGGCCCGCTGGGGGCACCCACCCTGTCCCCACCGCTCTGCTCACCCAACAGCTACATCAGCAACCTGAAACCGGCCGTCCAGGGCAAGAAGGCCAGGAAGCCGAGTACCAAGGGCCTGAGCTGCAACGGCAAAGATGCCAAAGACCTCAAAGCCCGGAGGAAAAAATCGCAAGATGGGAAAGGATGTCTGCTGGACAACTCCAGTGTGTTGTCTCCAGTGGACTCCTTGGAGTCGCCCCATGGGTACCTGTCAGATGTCGCCTCTCCTCCGCTGATGACCTCTCC